TGTATATAATTCTATTGGTCATTTTAGTGTAATGGAGCCAAGTTGGCGCATCTCCTACGGTTGTAACCCTGTCATCCACAAAGTCCGTATTTTGTTGTCGGTCTCCCTTCTCTGCATGATCTCTTTCTTTTCTCCATAGGTCTTCCACAACTCCTCTTTTGGTTAGGAGGTAACACTATTTCTCACTGTACTTCTTCAGGCACTGTCAATTTCTCTTGATTTCCAATGGAATATACAAAATCTTGGTACGCATTCAAGTACGCATCTTTTGTGTAATAATAAGAACAATAGTTATATGGATCTTTTCTTGTATTTGCAATTACAGCCAAAGCCTGTGGACACGGTAACAATTCAACTTGTAGAATCTTGCAAGTGCATGTTCGTTGCTCAATATCAACGACAACGTCGACTTTTCGTTGCTAACAGAAAATACTGTCTGGTTTGAAGAAGATACCTGCGTATATGTAAGAACAGTCAGGTCACATGTAGTTGTATACCGGTCACATTTACAAATTCAGGAAGCATGTTACACGTGGTCCATACCTCACTTGGCAGATAGCAATGCATCAGAATACAGAGTTGACAGAGAGTACACAGATACATCACATACCATATCACATAGGTCACAGATTTAGATATCAGGTTACACAAATTTGTTCCATTTACAGATAGTTATGAAACAGAATACGGAGCATTAAACTTAGTTTACCAACCCGGTCACAATCACAAAACAGGTCACATATCAGATTTGTTACATGACAGTTCAAGATACTGACACTTACGATGTGTCACATATACATCTAAATGTTAAATTATAGAAAATTACCCTCAAATTCCTCAAATCCATGCTCATTTTCCTAATCTCTTTCTCGTACTTGCTCGACAACTTTGTGAAAGTTCCATGCGCATCATCCTTGTGTCTACAAAATCATGATTGTATGGTTTGCCGTAATGACTCTAGCAAGGATACAATAGGTTAAATTTTGGCTGCCTTCATGACCGCGTTGATCGATTCCACAATATTTGATGTCATTGTAGAATATTAGTTTGTTGGCATATGTATTCGTGACTACTTTTAAGGTCCAACATCAGCTTGCAAACATAAATCAATTCGATAAACATCATATAAATACCATATACGACCATTTATATGTATGTGAAATGAAATAAGACGTAGTACACTACCAAGTACGAAATAATCTTCTTATTCATCGTTGTTAGTAGAGACACGTTATAATCATATTCTTCCAGCGTGTAAGCGCGGGTAGTCGAATTAAATGCTTGTGTAATGTTTTGGCTTGACTTTTCATAATATGATTTTAGATTTTACAGCAAATGATAAGAACAAGTACCATGATAGGCTCCTGGATACATATGTTCTATTGCATTCTTTATACTTGGGAAATGGTCCGACACAAAACACAGCCCTTCTCTGTTTCCATGCGCCTTCTTCAACTTATCGAAAAACCATCTCCAAGATTTGTCATTCTCATTGTCTCCAATTCCAAAAGCAAGAACGAAATGTTATTATTTGCATTTTGTGTACATGCTGTGAAAAGGGTACCTCCATATTTACCATTCAAGTATGTATCATCAACAACAATCACTAGTCTACAATGCTCCCATCCCTGTACTGATGTACCCAGTGCCATAAAGCAATATCTGAACTTATTGTAACTATCAACCTCTATTTCTGTGATCCTACTAGGATTTTTCTGTCAGAGCATGTAGAAGAAGCTTGGCAACTTACCAAATGACTCGGCTGGGTTACCCCTAATCATTTTTAAAGTTTGCTCGCGAGATCTCCAATCTTTTGAATAACTCAAATAAATCCCATAAGTATTCAACATGTCACTGCATATGTCCTTTGGTGTATATATAATATGGGACGATGTGTACTTGCACTTAATTGTAGATGACACAACCTTAGATGACACTTGCCTATGTGATCCCAATACTACATTTGATGCACATGGGTGACTACCAATCTTTTGAATCTTAAATAGATCTATTTTACCCCATATCGACGATCTACATATCCAACTACATCCACCATTCGAACACCTCACAACATATTCTCTCTTGTCGGACTGTTCAACCATAAACTCAAACATGTTTTATATGGTAAAAAACGACAGGTCATTTTCAAAACATCTTTATCACGAAACACCCTTCCTTCTTCTACCTCTTTAGCATCCGCGATTGACACAACTATGACTTCAGTGTCACAAATGTGACCCATTTTTTCATTTCATACTTCGCATATGTCTGATGCCATGTCTTGCAATGTAAACATCTTACCGCTAGAATGTGCATTGACTGGCATTGTGATGGATGTATTATCTATTTCTGCCTCAGCAATGTCAACGATTATTGAATATTTAGCAGGTTCACGCTCCATGTCCTTTAGTAGAATGTATGATAGCACATTATTGTCATTTTTTATCCTGATGGGAGGCAAATCTTCCTTCAGTATGTACTTTAATGACACCGCTACCTTCTTAGGATCCAGAGCAAATTCTGTCATAACTGTGTCCACAAGGATTAAATAACTGTAGTTGCCAGCTACCAACGCCAATGAGGATTGTAATCCATACAGTAAACATACGTGCAAGTACACCATTCTGAAAATTACAATTAATATCAATAATTTCATCATAGGTGAAATATGTCACATGTCACATTGTACAGCAATGAGGTCACAAATTAGCAAACAAGGTTACAGATAGTTATGGATAAGACAATCACAAGTCGGGTCACAGATTGGTATCATTCAGATACAGAGTTAATAGGGAGGTCACATATGCTTGAAACAAATGACGAAATGTTTGATTTTTCATTCTTGGCACATAGTGGGCGAAACATGTCACATTAGATAGGTTACAGTTTCACAAGTCAAGTCATAGTTTCACAAAGCAGGTCACGCACGACAAATCAGGTCATATATGACTTTTTCTACATTGTTACACAGTGGTCACATATGCTCGAAGTGAATAACGACATGTTTGATGCTAAATACATGACATAGTTGTTCAAACAATTCACATTTCATAGTAGAGAGGTTACAGTTTCACAGATCAGGTCACATTTACACAAACAGTTCATGTGTATGTCACAGGCGTCTACTGCAATTCTACTGAATAGCAACCTGTGACGAGAAACCAGCTAACGACGATATGAGCAACTATGACCCATAAGTTAGCTATTATATTGATTTCGTGACGAACGACATTCGTGATCGCTAATTTCAAGTTGTGATTGCAGCAAAATACACGGTTACCTATATTATATTAGCTAGGGACGATTAGCACTTTCGTGGCTAGCAATGATTTCTCATCCCCTGCAACGACGATTTTAGGACCAATTCGTGTTACGGAATTCAGTTTGGAATGTGACGTTCAAATCGACGAACATAACATTCATATTATTACTTGGATTAGCTTCTCTAGAAATTATTTCCTTTTTATGGAATCGACACCGATCTCTGTGACCCGATAGAGGAATGAAATCGACCAATTTTCAGTAAAATCAATCGACAACATCAATTTCGTTGCCGTGCATAATGAAATTCGAGAGATTTTTTTTTAAATTTTGGTCACAGATTTTTACAAAGGAAAGCCCAAATAACACATAACCTGAAACTCAAAAAATCAAAATAATAGCCTGTTACCCAATTAAACTACAACCCATAAATCAGGCCCATTCCATAAATCCAGCCCATCTATAACCATACAATACAAATGTATCCACAAGCCCAATTACTCCAACAACCCAATAAACACAAAAATTAACTAACCCAAATCAATTTCACACCTTCACAAGGGAATTTACGACCTCTACACACGATTGCCTTTTCGTTGATACCACCCACAACCAATCGTCTACCACGCAATCCCCAGCCAAGAACCTCCACTGCAAAGGCCTACACCACACCCTTCAACACCAACCGCATCTCACCCAATTTTACCTTGTCGTCATCGATTAACTACTACATTGTCTTCGACAGCTCCATTGCTTAGCCTTTGTTTGGCTTTAGGCCACCTTCTCTTTACACCACCCATTCATCTCCGCGAACACTGCCTACTCCACCACCTTTAAATCAACCTATAGAACACACCTCTTACGTCTACAACCACGACATTTAGCATGGATTGATGAAGAAACCAATTGCTCCAAAAAAATAGAACTTCTCAATAAAATTGAAGATCTAGGTTGCTTCTACTCGAAATCGAAATCGACAAGTGGTACTGATTGTCCAAAAAATTGAATTGCTAATAGCCTAGCTATAAAACTGTTGATTGAGCCTCTAGAAAGGGTTCAACATATTGAAAATCGTCAATAGCCCACCAAGTTCACATTGAAAGATATCATAGAATTAGATTTTCTGGTAGTCCGAAATTGTGGAGGCCGCCAATTCTCGAAGATGCATGCAAAATAATCTCTAAACAAGGGGCTACCATGTCAATTGGTTTGAATATTTTATGATTGTGATGTACGCAAAGAAAATTTGACCGGATGAGCGGCATGAGGCCGCTCGCAGGAGAACAAAAAACTTACAAGTTTAACTAATGAAGTTAAACCGGCTTTGATACCATGTTAAGAAAAATATGAATTGTCTTCTTATAAGCTCTTGTTGTATTACAATGTAGAAATCCCTATTTATAAAGTTACAAATAACCGCAAAAGGAAATAAACCTAAAAGGAAATAACTCAAAAGGAAAGATTGTATAATAATTACACAATCAACTAATAAGGAAAATAATTCTACGTAATTGGAAAAATATAATAAAAGATTATGTTATACAATATTTCCATATTCCATATCTTTAACAGGGACGAAACAAACAAATGGAGGTGTTGAAGCAGTACATGAATGATTTTCTATCACGATGGTTTGTGGATCGCAAATGCGTAGCAGTTAAGGACTCGATGGTTACTTTACAATGTATAGTTAATTCCTAAGTATGACAGCCGAAGAAAGGTATTGATAACTAACAGTATAATAAATTATTTATGACGTAAAATATAGTATGAAGAGAAAATATACAAGATCGATGAACTTGTAGCAAACACTTCAGAAGTAGCTAGTGCCCTTGTGAATGTTGGGTTGCACTAGGGATCGGGGCAAGATAATTGTTTAGTACAATACAGCCTACGTACAGGATTCATAAAATGTTTGATAATTTATAAACATCTTTCCAGAGAGAGCTACTGGCATCATCATCCATAAGATACCCCAATGTTTCGAAGCTGTTAGATGTGAGTGATTGATTAGGAATGTGCATTGAGTAGATACTATCCATTTGGTTGGCGGTGGAAGTTCCCGTATTGGCTGAAACTAATCCTGGCAGTGAATATTCTGCGTGGCTTTTGCTTATCCCAAATCCATTGGTTTGGTTATCAAGAATTTCTGGGATGGTTTCTTTCGAATTGAATATGGTGGCTAATTCTTCAGGGAGCTCTTCGATGTTTGCAATGTGTGGAAGGACAGGGTTGGATAGTAGCTGTAAGGGATCATCATGATTAACAAGCTCGCCATATTGGCTAGGATTATGTGATTCCCCAAGACAATTTGTGCCAATAATTGGCAGAGGGCTCGTGCTTAAAACTCTCAGTATATTTTGAAGAACTCGAATCTTGGCGAATTCAGTCACCTGATCTGCTTGTAACTTGAGCACATATTGCCAAGGATCCATCGAGTTCGTAAAACTGGAAGTGGGTAGCAGATTGAGGAGATTGGCATCAGTTATCGGTTGGTGGGTATTCGGATCAATACCAGACCGGAGGAGCTTCTTCCTGAGGTTCGTATTCCAGAAATTCTTGATTTCATTGTCTGTGCGGCCCGGAAGATGAGATGCAATTGTGGACCACCTACACGCATAAGTTGACACGAAGATATTATCGTTATTTAAATGTACTGAGAGATTGAAATTCAAAAGAAAGTAGAAGGAAAAAATTAAAGGCGTACTTGTTTCCATGAAGTGAATGGAGGTGGATAATGGTTTGTTCCTCGTCATGCGAGAAGTTTCCGCGCTTAATATCGGGCCTCAGATAATTAGTCCATCTTAATCTGCAGCTTTTCCCGCACCTATTTAGGCCAGCTTTCTCAGGGAGTAGTTGCCACCTTCCCGTGCCATGTTCATGAATATACTCAATCAGTTTTTTATCCTCTTCTAAAGTCCACGGTCCCTTCTTCAATCTGTTATCGGCATTGCTGCTGGGAGGTCTCCCCATAATCTGAAATCAGAATTAAAATGGAGGGATTATAGAAGTGGAGAGATAATATAATTCAAGGGAAGGCTGTATATAAAGGGAGAAAATAGTGGTTTTTATATGTTCCAGAGTCCAGAGATGACAATGTTCCAAGATTTATATGGTCAACATTATTTCTCAATATTGTATTACACCTTGGTTTAGCTTCTAACAATACGTAAAAGATTAAATCAAGTAGCTTATCTACTTTTTCTTTTGGTCAGTTGAGTAAAAATGGTTGGATTTAAAACTAATGCAGATTAGGTAATGACAGTGTCACTTTCATGAGGGGACACTATTTCTGTATTCAAGATTAACGTCTTCAACAATGTACAAGATTATTTTTCACTCAACTTCTTTTCAAAAACCCTTATATTTTTTAGATTTGATTCATTTGATTTGACCGCATCTTAGTTATATGCCATCTGCATACATATTCTCAAAGTTAAATTCTGAATATTTAACTTTGAATTGTTTTCACCAATACGATCATCTTTAACTGCTCCTGTAGAATAAGGCTGTTCCGTGTATAACACACACACTTCTTTTGAAAATGCAGAGATTGCAATGTCATAGCCTTGACGTATTTCGGCACCTAATGCCCCTGAAAAATATGTATATACTATTATCTGTAGTGACATGAAAGGGATAGTCAAAAAAATATAAGATGCTTGGTGGTTATTGGGTTGTTTGTGGTTCTGTCATTAATCTTCTGTAGTAGTTAGTTTATTCCGCTGCAAGAATATATATATATTTATGGTCCAGAGAAAGTTCTATATGTATGTCGTAGCAATGTAAGGATCAACTACGTTGTTCGTTCATAGGAAATTGAGCCATAATAAATGGTGAGAAACTGGACCATTCATTAGGAGAGAAATAAACCAAGACCAGCTGCTACAGAGCCACCTTGGGAACGGCAAGATTCATTTTTTCTCCAAAATAATTGGTAACCGGGGTGGGTTCGGAGCACCAACCACATTCCTTGTCCCCAACCTGGAATAAAATCCATTGTTCCAACCTCACCCCGAGTACCTGACTAACCGGGAAAACCGCCCCTTTGGAACAGGAAGTCAAGAGATCGGGCTGGGCAGGTTTTTTTCCCATCCCAAAGCCACCTTGCGTGACAACGGAGAAGTCATAAAGTGTACATTGGTTTGGTGAGCAAAGTGGTGGGAGATTTCTGACTAAGCTCCTGTTTGGGCCCCATTTCCGTAATAAAGTGTATAGTGAAATAATGATTTTTCAAAAAATATGTGGTTAAAAAATAATGAAAAATTTTCGATTTAGATGTAAAATTATTTTATAGGAGAATGTGCGATTGAAAATGTGTTTTGAAAAAATGCGTTTTTAAAACAGTGGGAGCCAAAAATAGGCTAACTAAGTCCTTGTTTGAGACCAATTTTTGGATCAAAATGCATTTTGAAATAACGTTTTGTTGAAAATGCGTAGTTAAAAAATAAAGAAAAAATTGAATTTACATGTAAAATTATTTTATGAGAGAATGTGTGATTGAAAATAAATTTTTAAAACAAGAAAAAATGGTGGTCAAACATAAACATTTGTGTAAGACTTTTCTGTTCTGGGAACACTCTTAAATAGTCCAAGGGGGAGTTGAGAAGAAGACAAGATATCCTGGGATTTTTCCTTCCATACTATCTCATTTGCTTCTTTCACAAGTCAACCTGTGTATAAATGTATATAGAATCCGGATTTTTAGTTGGATTTTTACTTACCAAAATTTGAGTGTCTGACGACCTGAAATTAATTAATTATTATCATTGAAAACAATTCATGCGTGTTGACGTGTTCCTTCTTGGAAACTTCTCAACAATAGTATTCAACTATCAACCTCAGTATAATAGGCTTATCCAAAAACTTGAAGAAATAACGAGTTTCAACATGTTATGCTATTGGGCAACTCCTAACTAATCTTTATTCTAAGTTACAAAAATTCATTAAACTATAAATTTATGGTTCTTGTAGAATTGTAAATTCAAAAGAATGATGGTTGTCTTGTCCAAATTAAAATTGTTATAGCAACACATTGTCCAAGTTTATGTTCCAAAAAACTAAAATTATAACTTAAATTTGTCAAATTTTCCATTCTTTTTATTTACCTACAACTTATTACCTACTTTTATCTACACATTATATTAGACCCATTACTTGCTGCAAATAAACAAGCAATAAAAATTGGTTTTGTATGGTTTAATTACATTTTTTTTGTTGGAGAATTACATCGATAATTGTGCATAATATATTCATAAAAACATATCGTTAATTTGCGTGAAATTGAAATATAATTTCGACTTACCGAGATAGGATTTGAGAAAATAAAATAAGAATTTATCGAATCCGAATACCTGAATATGGATTCTTCCCTTTCAACTCATGATTGAAAGCAAGTAATTCTTTGGATCAAACCTTGCAGGATAAACATATGAATAACGTTAATCATTTTTTGAAATCAAATCATAATAAAAGGAATCAGAAAATGAAGAAAGAAGATGCAAATGATGGATTTTGGCCGAGCCAAGTGTTGGACACTTTGTCCTTAAAATGAATTTGCCCCGCATCGGTGCTAACGGTTCTCCGGCAATCATCTCCTAAGATACAACGATCACGTCTAGCCATAAGAGTACTCTAAATGACTTCGACCAGCGAACTCGCACGGAATTCCCTCTCTACCATGACCACGACTTTGATGCAAATGTTTTGTGCAAAACCAAAGTGTAAATTGGAATGGAATGATATGGTATCTATGATTTTTCTTGAATTTCTTAAATGATAAAATTCAAACATATGGGGTCTATATATAGTAGTTGGAAAGGTATGTCAAAAGACACAACCATACCAAGAGTCACATCTCTTGAAATTTATAATTATTGGAAATTAATCATACACATACCAAGAGTCATGATCCTCCATGTGAAAAGACACATATTTTCATCCATATTTTTCTAAAATATTCTAAAATATTCTATACAATTTTTCAATAATTTCAAGTATTAAGCGGCTTTATATCTAACTTAATTTCTCATTCACCAAATTAAGAATTTCACTTAAATAATTATGTACCAATTTTAGATACAAAATTCCAACAATTCCCCACATGAATGAAAATTAATGCAAATGTCTATGTAGACACTGGTAGAGAGAGAGCGGGAAAACACTACATCAGGTAAGGTAGCTTCTGGCTTTGAACATTCCTTAGTGAAATACCATCGGATTTATTAGCTAATTGGTGAAAGCGATGTTCTTGAACCATCAGCCGTTGGTGTAAACCAAGACAACAGTACTCACACAATGTCTCCCATAAACCGTTTATGGTTCTCACGACTTGGTTCATTTTGGCCCTAAACCCATCTTGATTTTGTAAGTATTTAGAGAATTCAAACCTTGAATAATTCTCATTAAAGCGGCCTCACTTTACACTTACATATGTGATCTCCTATTAAGAGTATTCTGCCATACTCCACTTGACTTAATCAAGATATAAGAATCATTAAAAATTTATCTTAACTTCCAACCACTCTGCAGAAAGCACTTTGTTATCATAGGAATGAGTTAAGAAATTAGTTTTCTAAGTATTTCACGGAATCCTCATAACTTAGTTGTTCCTTTGAACTAAGATTTTGGGATCTCCAGTCAACATGGTAGGGTTACCATCATAAGGACTCTTACTCAGTAGGCTTAATCTCATTCCCTTCAATATGCAATATACTTGATCTCTTGGTAAACATATATAAATGGATCCACAAGTTTATACCAATGAGATCAACTGCTTATAGTATTATGTCTATGACATACATGTCTAGACTTACCATTATATGTGACTTAGTATCTTTTCAAATTTAGTTAGCCAACGATTGATTCATTTGATAGATACACATTGTCACCAACTAAGAAATCCTCTCATGATGCTACATGCTTTTCATTAGCTTTATCTAAAGTTTTATCAATTCCAAACAACAATGTTGGAGGATTTCTAACAAATCGTTACATTAGTCAATCATATTTACTAGTGGATTTCATACATGGGTATTCAATATCAACCTTAAAGCATTGCGACGCATTCGAACTTTTTGAATATTCTAAAATATTTTAATTGTTCTTGTATATCCAAACAACCGTCATGATCGACTTTCATCCCATTTCATCCACTTTAGGGCTTTTATCCCATTTTATCCACTTTAGACTTAGTGTATTTCATCGCATCACATTATCCTTTCAATACCTCAGGATATCTTGTGAAATGTAATCCATAGGTCATGGTATATTTCAAATACCTAAGGACCCTTGTCAATGCCACCCAATAATCATGGTTTGGATTACTTGTGAATCTATTAAGTTTATAGTTCAATCCATTTATCACTTAGATAATATCCGTATTGGATGCTTGGTGAAAGTTTACATACTTTCAAAATAGTGGTAGTTGCTTCACATGAATGAAAAACCATTTTCCATTCAAAATTGTACTTCAATCAACCATAATTTGATCATCCAAATTAAATCAAGGTCATCTTTAAGATCGTCATAAACCAACTTAATTGGTTCCACGATTGAAATCAAATTCAACAATGAAGAAGACTAAGCATCTTCAACCACGTGCAACTTTCACATTTGTGACATTTCACAAATAATATTATTCAAATCAAATAATAAGGTACATTTTACCTTATTCACCATATTCACATTTGAAAGAATAAATCAACCATAGATTGATAAGTTGTGCTTTCAAAGTCACAACCTTACAAAAGGACATACCTCTTGGAGTTAATCCTAGAATATTTTATAATATTCTTCACAATTTTTGCATAGTTTTTATCCTTTACAAATGAATATCATTTTACAATCATTATTTTCAAGGATATCTAGTACCACCGTCAACTATAGACACTATTTATACTCTATAAAATATTTTCATATCCCAATAATTGGGTAAACAATTTCCAATTTAAAATAATTACGATAAAACCACATTCGTCATGCTCTTATGCAACTATGATTTTGCATACATTAGCCCCTTCATAGAA